TAAAATAGGCTACTGCACATTAAGTGTCACTTAAAAACCGTGCGCTTGCAGTACTGCACATTAGGGCAGCCTAATGCACATTTCGTTAGTACTTCACATTAGAGGGCATTTATACACATACCTTGTCAACCTGCGATGCACCAGAAATCCAGTGGGTTGGAGCAGACTCAGTTAAGCGAGTCTGCTCTGCACGTGAGCTGACACACACCGCGCTGTTTCACATGCAGTTGTATAAGCGGCAAAATGCGCGTCAGCATGCAGAAAATGACAGCGGCACGCTTTTGAACTAAAACACCTTCAGTGTGTTTTAGTTCAAAACTGCGCGGCCATTTTTGATGTTTTAGTTCAAAAGCCGCCGCCATTTTCTCAGCGCTGACGCATTTCACCGCTTATAAACTCCATGTGCTGGCACTGCAGCGCAAGCACGTGTACAAATGCCTGGAGGTACTAAATTTAATGCGCATTGAGAAAGGTGCATTAATACGCATATAGACACAGCCACTGGCTTATAGTGTAACCAGCTCTGAGATCTGCAGATCAGCTCAGGTGCCTAAACCTTACACGTGTAACATTTGTACCTCTTAACTACTTACGCTTACCATTCCTAGCACATCCCAGGGAAGCAACTGGCATAAGAAGCCACTTGTCTGGGACAGTTCAAATGGGGATGGCCCTGTCTTGAGTAGGGATCACTATGTGACCTCCAGGGCTCCCTCCCAGTCCTACCTATGTCTCTGAGACTCCATGAAAATGGCAGAAGCCAGCCCCATCAGCAGTTGCTATCCCCCCGCCTTGTTAAGCCTCTTCTGGCCACCGAGCAGTGGCTATTGGGGCTTTGCCAAGCCATAAGGAGCCTGGCTTAGTTTTGGGCAGCCGAGTCCCCGAGGAGCACAATGCTGACCCAGCCCGAGGCGTGGGGCCCTTCACAGAATCCTAGAAAAGTGGGACTGGAAGGGACCTCCCAGGTCATCTAGTCCAGCGTTCCTCAACCCCTGGGTCGCAACCCAAAAGTGGGTCACAAGGATATATAAAAGGGCTGCGAACAAACTTTAAAAATGGACCAACAAACTTTAAGGGAGAAAAACATGGGAAGCTGTGGCTTTTCCCCTGCAGGCTGGCAGAGCTCCAGTCTGCAAGGAGCTATCTGGGGGCCCCCCCTTCCCCACACCCTCCCCC